AAAAACCATAATCCAAAACACCAGAAACCCTAACACACTGAGAGTTTAAAACAGTCAGATTCTTTCTTCTTCAATAAAATCTTCAGTGTGACTGCTCCCCCAGGTGTTACAGCAGCAAGGGCTGTAGTTACACCGTAAGGTTTAAAAAACTAAGAAAAAGGCTGTTTTTTTAAAATATTAAATAGAATTATTACAACAATTATTATTATTACAACAAGCGGATACAAAGATGGTGAGGATGGAGTAATAGAAACTGAAAGTAAGGTAAGAGGGAGCTGTGTTTTAGACCAGTATTAACTGGATAAAAAGAGCATAAAAATTCTCAGAAGTCACATTTAATAGAGAGTATTTTTGTTACATGAAAAAGTAATAAAAGCTGCCTACTTATTAGTGCTCAGTACTACAGTCTGAAGGCAAATCGCCCACATTTTGCTGCACAAGTAGCTATTTCCTAAGGAGAAAAAAATTATTTTCTTAGGAAATAGAGCTTAGACAGCCCCTGAAACTGACTTCCAGTTCAGCTTGCTGTCAAAGTGGACGCCCAGGTACTTGTACTAACCCCCACTTCAACATCCTGTCCCAGAATAGACACAGGCCATGTAGCTGTCGTCTTGCTTCTAAATTTGATCGCCATCTCTCCAGATGGCGTTCAAATATGGAGCAACCCTGGAGGTCCCGTTCCGGGGTCTGCTTCTGTCCATTGAGCCTCTCTAAGAGCCAACTCGATCTCCCAGGTCAGGGCCCCAATTACACAGGTGGGCGGTAGAATGGGAGAGTCCCGAATTGCGTCTTCAGAGGTGGCGAATTGGCGTGAGAGGGCGTCTGGCTTGACATTACGGGAACTGGGTCTGTAAGTGATTGTAAACTGGAAACTAGGAAAAAACAGGGCCCACCTGGCTTGCCTGGCGTTGAGGCACTTTGCCGATCAAATGTACTCCAGGTTCTTGTGATCGGTCAAGACCACAAACGGCTGGGCAGCGCCCTCCAGCCAATGGCGCCACTCCTCCAGAGCTAGCTTGATGGCTAGTAGCTCTCGGTCTCCCACATCATAGTTGCTCTCTGCAGAGGTGAGACGGAGTGAAAAGTAGGCAAAGGGGTGAAGCTTATCACCTTGCTGCTGGGAAAGCACCGACCCCACTCCAGCGTCCGAGGCGTCCACCTCTACAACGAACTGCAGGTTGAGGTCGGGTTGGACGAGAATGGGCACCGAGGCAAAGCGGTCCTTCAGATGAGCGAATTCTTGTTGAGCACAGTTCATCCCAGCAGAAGGGAACCTTGGGAGAAGTAAGACGGGTCAGAGGCAGGGCAAGTTTACTGTAGTCGCGAATAAAGCGACGATAGAAGTTCGCGAACCCCAGAAAGCTTTGCAGCTGTTTATGGTTAGAGGGGGTCGGCCAGTCAACAGCGGCTTGAACCTTCGCGGGATCAGTTTTGAGCTTACCTTGGTCGATGATGTTGTCCAGGAAGGAAACAGTTGAGATATGAAACTCACATTTCTCCCATTTAACAAAGAGACGATTCTCAAGGAGACACTGAAGGACTTGCCTGACATGGCGTTGGTGTTCTGTGACAGAGCGGGAGAAGGTGAGGATGTCATCCAAGTAGACGAAAATGAAGTGGTCAATGACATCCCGGAGAACGTCGTTCAGCCTGAAACACAGCTGGAGCATTGGTGAGACCAAAAGGCATTACAAGATATTCGAAATGGCCCAGGTGAGTATTGAAAGCCGTTTTCCACTCATCCCCCTCCCTTATTCTCACCAGATGGTAGGCGTTGCACAGGTCCAGCTTTGAGAAGATAGTAGCCCCCTGGAGAAGCTCGAACGCGGAACTCAGCAGCGGGAGGGGATACTTGTATTTAACTGTGATGGCATTGAGGCCACGATAGTTGCTACAGGGCAACTCTTGTCCTTCTTACTGACAAAAAAGAAACCGGCTGCAGCAGATGTGGACGAGGGACGAATGAGACCCGCGGCAAGGGATTCATTGATGTATCCCTCCATGCTCTCATGCTCAGGTTGGGATAGGCTCTACAACCTACTGGTCGGGAGTGGTGCGCCTGGGAGGAGGTCAATCCCACAGTTGTACGGCCGGTGGGGGGGAAAGGAGCGTGCCTTATCCTTACAAAACACCAGTGCCAGGTCGTGATAAACAGACGGCACGGAGGACAGATCTGACGGTTCAGAGATCGCTGAATTGATTGGTGGGTTCATGGCGGGGGTGGCGGCTTTTAAACAGGGCAGTGTAACTGTATGACTTCAGAGAAACTGTCACGGCTGGCAGAGTGAGCCGTGTGGTGTGGAGGAAAAGGAGGACCCAAAATGCAGCAGTGACTGATGATACGAGTGATGTTTATTTACAAAGTGGTAGTGGCAGAAACAGGCAGTGAGGTATGACAGAACAACTGAAGAAACCTAAACTGGGAGAACTAACTGACAAACCTGAGACCATACAAAAGGGGTGCGGGGCAGAGAGACGCAGAGACAGGAACACCATAGAACGCAGAGATACACGGATGAATGCAGACGAGCCGACAACGAACACAGAACGACACCCACTAAATATACACACACACAAGGTAATCAGGTAATCACACACAGGAGGGAAGAACAGCTGAACCTAATACACATGAGGACCAGAGGAGACAAGCTGAACACAATGACAACAGACACAGACTTTCAGAACAAAACAGGAAATCTAGGACCCGAACCGGACACAAGGGGGGAGGACACAGAATAACTAGAACAGAGGAAAATAATCACAAAACACTGGGTCAACGACCCAGGACCATGACAGAAACAGAGCGTGCTGATAAGCGTGCAGCTGATCCGCCTGTCCGTGACAAATAGTTTTTCCTTATACTTAGTCTAGTTTTACTCTTTGAGCTTTGTGTTTCCTTGGATTTTGCATTCCTGACAATAGAGGCTACTTTCATTGAAGAGACATTAAGAATAACCAAACTAAATGTAGACGTCAGAATGAGGACACGTTTTTCTGTTATCGTCTTAGTGTTTTTAAGAAACAGGACAGCTGCTGAAGCCTTTTCTGGCAGGTTGCCTGGGCGGATCACCTCCTCTCTGAACTACAACTGGGCTTCTGATAAGAGATCTTTTAATATTACTCCCGACTTCAATATCAGAGGAGTGCAAGGTTGCCAGGCAGGGATATTGAGCGAAAGCTAAGAGTTTCTCCCTTTCGGCTTGGCCCGGCATCAAAACTTATTAGATAGATAAATGAGAGCTGGACTTGTGCCGGAGCGGGCCTCTTTCTGTGCCTGTGTGTCATTTATTCGTCCCCCGAATAAAGGCTCCATCAGATAGTGGGTAGCCTTTCATGGCGGCCTCCATCTCTTTGCATCTGTTGACCCACTGCGGCACAGTCGGGATAATTTGGGCTGCTTTGGCGGCTCTGAAACAGCACTTTCCCTTTGAAACAGCTTTTGTTAATTTTGTTCTTTCTTACCAGATAAACCTCAGATTTAGAGGTCAGGAAGCATATATGTGGTTCTTCTACTCTATTGGGCATTTTGTTATCTTATTTATCAAAGCAAAGAAGCCTTAAAAACCCTTTTTATAAAGCATTTCTTTGTTATATGAGGCTGTACAGCAAAATAGGAGGCTTACTTTTTTATCGTACATGGTTGGATGATGTGAGTGGTATTTATAGCATTGTAAGAATTAAATATTGCTTCTACACAGTAGAGCGTCTGTCATTGTCTATCAGAATTAAGCTCAGGTCCTTGAAAAAAGCATTTCCTTGACTAGTTTCCTGTAACCATGGTAATAGGAAGTCCTCTCCAATCACGTTTTTGTACTGTATGTCAGGGAAGTGAACAGCTTCCTGCTGTTTTCACTGGCTTCCTCTCCACTGGTGTGAACTCAGGATTCCGCATTAGGTCCTGGAAAGCTGTGCAGCTCTTAACCACAGCTCTTGTTGTGAGCAGTTTTTTTCTGTTTTCTGCATTTTCTAATGAATTTGCCCTCAACGCAGTCACATTTGAATGACGTAAGTTTAAACTTTCTTGTAAAAATTTAGACCAAACAGGAGTTTAGGCAGTGGCAGTTTCAAGATTTCATTTTTATTTCTTATGTTTTCAATACTTTTCAGGTGATTACTCGAGTGAACAAAACCAGTGAGATCAATTAATTTCTTTTATTATGTGATTTTGAAGCTTTATCTAAATTTATTTTCATATCACTGCTCAGTGGGACACGAGAGCTGCATGTATAAAATCAGCTGTCAGCTCTGACTTTAAAAATCTTTTAAAGATTTGCTAACTTTGCCCTAAAGTAAGGTTTTAAAAGTCATACTTAAAGCACCATCTTTGCTGTTGTGTGATTCTGCATTCGGGATTCTTCATTGACATGTCTCATCTCTTCTACACTCTCTGGCTATTTTGTTAGCTACGTCTTGCTAGTTCTAGCTGGGCTCCCTTTGGTCTTCACTACTACATTAGTTCACAGAGATTCAACAAGATGCTGGAAACATTCCCCAGAGATTTTTGTCCATATTGACATTATAGCATTAAACAGTTACTGCGGAAATGTTGGCTGCACATCCATGATGCAAATTTCCTGTTTTTCCACATTCCAAAGGTGCTCTCACCAGAATCAGATCTGTTGACTTTGGAGGTAACAGTGAATTGCTTGCCACATTCAATAAACGAGTTAAGATTATTTGAGACATGATGTATTATAATGGCAGAACTGTGGTCATAAAGGGGTGGACATGGTCAGCAACAATACTCAGGTAGGCTGTTGTGTATAAACAGCACTCACTTGGTTGTAACGAGTGGTTATTTCAGTTACTGTTGCCATCGAATCAGCTCCAAGCAGTCTGGCTATTCTCCTCTGACCTCTTCTACCATCAACAAGATATTTTCACACAGAGAAAATGCTGCTCACTGGATATTTTCTCTCTGTAAAGCCCAGAAATGATTGTGTGGGAAAATTCCAGTGGCTCAGCAGTTTCTGAAATACTCAGCCCAGCCTGTTTGGCACCAACAACCATGCCATGTTCAGTGTCACTTAAATCACCTTTCTTCCCCATTCTGATGCCCAGTTTGAACTTCAGTCGATCATCTTAACCATCTGTTTTCGACTAACTGTATTAGGTTGCTGCTGTGTGATTGGCTGATTGCTGCTGTTAAAGTGGTCAATGGGCATAATGTTTCCGATATAACATATTAAATATACTATATTAAACATGGTCTGTGTTAGTTTTAGACTGTTTTTTTAAACTCTTGAATCTTTAGGAAACAATAGAGATGGGATAAGTAAGACAAGCACAGAGATATGTTGGCAACTGCCTGGTAACCACTGGTTGTTTAGATACCCACCACTATAAAGTCTGTGTTTGGGTTACTGTGGTTATAGTCTGTTGGGTTCACAGTAAGTGAGTGGATGTCTTTTGTCCAACCTCTTATTTAGACATCTTCCTCTCACAAACCTAATGGATTCTTTCCAGTGATAAGGCAGTGTTATACATGTGGAAAAAAAAACTGTAGAGGGAATATTCTGCCATTGTCTGCAGTGAGAGTGAAAACATCTTAGAATGACAGTGAACTACATAAAAGATAACAAAAGCATATCAGACAGAACAGGCATACAGAGAAAGTTTATTTTATATTTCAGAGAAACTAAAAACCACTTCCTGGGGAGTCACGAACACACTTGCGAGAAAGAAATGGAGAACTGATTTACATCAAGCTGCACTCCATTACTCCTCCTCACTGGATCAAACTGGCAGCGATGCAGCTTGGTCATCCAGTCACCATCAGCACTTCTCTCCAAATCCCTCCCCAACCTCAGAGTCTGATATCCAGGAGCCGACACCCATTCCTGCTGGACTCCATCCAGCCCGTGTTGGTCAGGGCTATCATCAATCCAAAACGGGGGATGGAGGAACCTCTCCAGCCGCAGACTCCACAAAGCCCCAGTAACTGCAGCTCATCGGGACCTGGTGGGAAATCCTGCTGGAGTTTAGACCTGAGGGTGGCTATTCTTCTGCTTACTCTGGCAGGAGCAGTAATCCTCCTGCTGCTGTACAGACTGTTACAGCTGAGACACAGGTGTGTACATGTGTAATAACATGTAGCCAAAAGGTAAATTGATGTCAGGCTTGTTTGGTAAGTCATCTGTGTGCGTCTTGACCCAACTCAGTTTGGCCTCAGAAATGGGATCCGAGTTTTACCACTATATTTATTTGGTGTTATGTTTTCTTCAGGCTGAGGATGGCCAGAGCGAGGCATGCTTTGGAGTACACCAGCTTCTACCACAGTGGCACCTACACACTCAAACACCCCACACCTTGTCAGGAGCTGCCAGAGAAGAACAGGGCAGTACCTGAAGACACTGCACCACTCCAAACCATAACCTCAGTGACACCTGCTGTCATCACCCCAGTGCCACCTCCATCGCTGCCCTCACCGGCACCCCCTCCACTGCTACTCCCCCCACCTCCTGTCCTACCACGTCCACCTGTTCACCCTCCAGTTTCTCTCCCTCCAACACCCCCTGTCCTGTCACTCCCTCTTCCCGTGCCTGTCATCCACACCACCCCGCCCAGCCCTCACCTGTCATGGGGTGCCTGCTCAGATGCAGATGTTTATTCTCGGATTGGGACTTTCAGGCCATCCAGGCTTTCCAACCTCTCCAACCAGTCGACGGTCATCCTGTTTGAACACTCATCTGTTTGAACTCTCACAGAATGTGTGTGATCTCCTCAAGGAGTCTGTGACTGTGACAAGGATTACAAGATGTTTCCTGTACTCTATGTTTGTGTGTGTAATATACAGCAAAATATAAGAGGTTAACGTTTCAAAACTTTAAAACATGAAGTTTGCACTTTGTCAGCCACTGAAGGGCTTTATTGACAAAAAAAAAAAAAGAAAGAAAAAAGCAGATGCAATAAAATTGCAATTTAATTAAAAACACCTCTATTATAACCATGTTTTTTTTTTCTTAACTGGATTGTGACATCAGGAGGACAGATGAAACCCTCCACTTGTCCAAGAAGCAGGACTAAAAAACTACCAATAGCAGATGAACAGTATGTAAAACAGGGCTTATGAATACATTGACTTTTTGGTGGAGGATTTCAAGAGCGAGGTACAACAGTGAACATCTACAGTCATCTGTAAAACATGGCAGAAGGTTGCATTTCAGTCAGTGGTGTCAGGGAATGTGTTAAAGTTGATGTGAATGCAAAAAAAGCACAGCCAGATCCACCAATCAGAACCATTTGGAAGCATCTGATTGACAACAGCTTCATTTCTCAGCATGACAGGGATCCCATGAAAAGAAAAAATTAAGAATTTGAAAATTCATGGACTATAATGAGTGTAGGCAGCACGGTGGCACGGTGGTTAGCACTGTTGCCGCACAGCAAGAAGGTCCTGAGTTCAATTCCACCATCAGGCCGGGGTCTTTCTGTGTGGAGTTTGCATGTTCTCCCCGTGTTTGCGTGGGTTCTCTCCGGGTACTCCGGCTTCCTCCCACTGTCCAAAGACATGCAGCTTGTGGGGATAGGTTAATTGGAAAATCCAAATTGCCATTAGGTGTGAATGTGCGAGTCAATGTGAGTGCGAATGGTTGCCTGTCCCTGTGTGTTGGCCCTGCGACAGACTGGCGACCTGTCAAGGGTGTACCCCACCTCTCGCCCTATGACAGCTGGGATAGGCTCCAGCGCCCCCCGCGACCCTGAAAAGGAGAAGCGAAAGCGAATGGATGGATGGATATAATGATTGTATTTTAGAGTTTAAAATAGTTTGATCAAAGACCTTTCAATCCTGGTGGTTTAACCATTACAGAAACCATCCATCCATCCATCCATTCGCTTCCGCTTATCCTTTTCAGGGTCGCGGGGGGCACTGGAGCCTATCCCAGCTGTCATTACAGAAACATAAAAAATAAATAAATAAGTTACCTATGCTGTTAATTTAGGGCAGATATGGCATAACGCTTGCATTTTGTGGTGTCCTCATAAGTTTGTTAAGCACTGTATAACGAGTCCATCACCAGGTAGTTAGTAACACATTTTTGTGTTTTCGTTGTGTGACCACATTCAGGTGTGAATAAGAAATTCTGCATTACATACTTCATCGTGCAGATTGAGAAAATACACACCTTGTTATTTGTCTTAAAATATTGTAATATAAAAAATAATAATAATAACGACATTTTTAAATATTAAAAAAATAACCATGATCCCTAGTCCCTTTAGCTATCTAGTGATCACCTAATGATTAACTCACTATTACTTGCTGGCTCTTTCTGTGGCTCCTTAATAATGAGCATCATAACTTACAAAATGATCATTTTGTTTTCTTTAAAACTCGATGACAGTGTTTAGGAAAATGTTCACTACCATCATAAATCAAGAGACCTGTAGGTTCATTTTCTCATATTCTCCTGTACATTCTGATGTTTAATGGCCTCCTGAGTTAGACATATGGGATTAATGTCAATGCCATCCTTCCAGCCCTCTCACCTGGATGCTGTTAGTCTCCTAAAATGAGACTGTTATCTCTTAGTGGCCAATACTGCTGAATCCTTCCATGAAAAATGGGGATTCAAGTAAACAGTGCATGTATCATCAAATTTTAAGAGGAACTTTAACTAATGATAGAAGTCATGTACATGTATAACCATGTATAATTTCTGCTGCATGAAGTAGTTCTGAAGTTTGAAGGATTCTTAAAGTGGATATGCAACATTTCAAAATGAAAAACTTTGATTAATATTCAACACATCCAGAAAACAAACACATTCATATTCATCCTTGCCTGACATTTCCTCATTTTATTTAATTGCCTCTGCTGTATATTGTTACAAATGTCTTTCCTCCTCAGCTTACAACCACTTACGAGACATTGCAGAAGCGCATGCACATATTGAATTAACTGGCTTTTAGAATGGAGACCGTGACCCCACGAGCAGACTTGTATGCAGAAATGACTAAAGATACAAGGTACACAAGGTCACGGTTTTCACCCCAGCAGGCAGAGAGCAACAAACAACCATCAACTAAAACAGCTTCCCTTTACAAACTAATGTTGAATTATAAATGAGAGGTTGGTTGGAAAAAACATATTGAAATATTGAAGAAAAATTCACCTTGTTAATGTGGCCACTAAGATCACCATAGAAACAAGATGTTACATGTCCCTTGTGCCAATGGGGCTTTTTAATATGTGCTAAGTTCATCCACTGGGGAAGAGCACTAATGAAATAGTTAAGAGTTGAGCAATTGCATTGTTAAATATACGGTTTAATAATCATGTTTGAATTTTTTACTGTTAAAGGCTTATATTACTAAATGAAGCAAAAGCTTATGATACAGAAAGAGACGGGGGGGCATGAATGCAAAGAATGGTGTGAAACAGGGAGGGACGCTGCCATGAAAACCCAGCTCAGGAAATACCTCCCAACTGAGGAAACAATGAGCTCTGCTACTGCAACAATTCAGTAAAAATGGTTAAGATAAACAGGTTAGGAGCGCTACGTTTCTAATCGGGCAGTAGTTTATTTATTACAAACCACTTGAGTTTTGCATTGTGGAGGGCACCCTCAAGTAATTAAGTGCATGTTGTTATTCATGCAAAGTAAGAAAATATGTCAAAAGTTGTAAGTATTCCAGTTATCGGCATAAAAACTAGACTGAAAATGAGTGAAAAGAACATAATTGTTCTTTTCAAACTGGTCAGTCTGCCTGTAACTTAGCTGCACAAATCTAGTGATACCTCAAATCTCAGCGCAGGGAAATTTGATTAATGAGGCAAACTGACCTCTACAGGCAATATTTGATGCTGGTGTGTTTTGTTGCTTACAGTGAATTTCCTGTTTGGCCAGATAAAGCTTTCTGCTTACCAGCATTAGCTTAAGTAATAAAGTGGACAACTTGGCATTCATTGTAGCAGCTAGCTGTCTAACATTATCTCTAGAAAAATGCTGTCTCTAGCCACAACAATCTTCATTGTCTTTAGTTAGTGATCAATGGACTCCATAAGCTATCATAAACTAGTGCTGCTCAATGATGAAAATGCAAACAGAGGTGATTTTCTGAAAAAAAAAAAAAAAAAGGAAAAAAAAACTAGGGAACAAATAAAAAACAAGCAAGCAAACAAAAATAGCTAAGAGGCTGTTAGAGGAAACTGTATGTCAGTGTGATACAAGCCAATTTAAATGCTCCCATTTTCATATTAACATTCACATCAGAGTTATTAGTAGTGAAATACTGAAGTACTCCTATTCGTTAAGTTAATCACTGAATAGCATATTGCTTGTGCTAAGAATCACTGGATTAAAAGCATATAAACTATTAGGAGGAATAGATCAATTTTAATTACATGTACACCAATCAGCTCAGCAGTCACAACTGATCTCTAGAAGGTCGGCTGAATTGATTATCGCTACACTGGATTTAAGGGAACCTTATGAGATTAGGTAAGATCACAATCTTATTTCCTGCAAGAATTTCTTTCCCAAAAGGTAACACGGGTAGCACAAGTGCATGTTCTTCTGCAAGGTGGCATATTTTGTAGAAATATGTGACTATATAGCTAATGAATGTTGTCTCTTGGTGTTTTGGTTTTTTTTTTGACAAGAAATGTTTAGATAGAAAGAAAGATAGTTAATGAATATAATTCATACAGACTGTCATGGGCTTTTGACCCAACATTTTGAGTTTTGGAATGTTTTGAGTTTTCTGTGAGCTCATGAGCTCATGAGCTCTATATCTATATCTCTATATCTAGTTCTTTCAACATAACATAACATATTGTCTATGTATCCTGTTCATGGGGTCTGTAGGTTTGCGCTCCTTTTAAATAAAAAAAGAGAAAACTATTCAATATACTTCAGGTATTTATGATAATTATTATCTATAACAGTGAGTAAAAGTGTTCTAAATCTTGCTTGGCTGTGTCTGACTGGTAGGAACAGTGTTTGCAGTGCTAAATAAAATGAAATACAGTTTCTGTCCCTACTTAACGCATGTAACTGTGTATCAGATCGAGGATCATTACTTACTGTGTCATAGTCGCCATTTGCTGGAACGAGTGTGTCGACGATCACACAGTCCAGTGACTGGGTATCGATGACTTCACACATCATGCACTACAATTTTAATGCCTTGAGTTTAACAGATTGGACATCCCTATCTTGTTTTTGTAAACCAGATGGCACAAGAGAGGGTGTTTATAACTTACACTTTCATTCCAAAAGACTACAGATGGGTTTTTAGGTCAGTACAGCTAGTTTTGATTTCTGTGCCACAAAGTTTATTAAAAGTTATAAAAAAATCAAACATTAAAGACCTTATCCTTTCCTAAAAGCTGCATGCTGTGTTTTTGTTATCGCCTAAAAACAAACGTGGTGTTAAACAATGAGGAAATGCTGAAAGGTAAATCTCAGTTACCGCTGGAATCACACAGCCAAATTCCAGAGAAGATTGCTGTCAGCTGTCGGCAATAAAAACAGACTTCCACCTTCACAAAGTTTATATGTGTCCCAAAACATCCATACAGGCAGATTTAAGAGGCAGATGGAAAATGTCATGGATTGATCCATCCTTAATAACACAGGATGAGGATGCATGGAAATTGCTTTCCCAAGCGACATAGACAATATTGTGCTTTGAACATCGAGAGAAATTTTCCATTCCTCTGAAGGAAAACAAAAAGGCTGTGCTATGACTCTGACGTTTTCGTCTTCCTTTCATTGTTTACAAATGAACCAGAATGCATGGACAAAACTACAGTGGGAGAAATGACGACTGCTTTTTTAAAATTAGTGACTAAATGCAAAAATCTTTGTGGAATCTATTTTTCCTTTGAGTTCAGTTCATTTTTAATTTTTCCAACAGCATGTTCTTTTCTTTATAATTATGAATATTCATCATTTCAATTGATGTAGCAAAGAACTTCCGAAATCCTTAATAACTTAGTTATTTCCTATCTTATAATCACCTCATTTGGTTGATGATTAAGCTTTTCTTTAAATGAGATTTTACTTGCCTGGGTCCACACTATAGACTGTATATTAAAGATGGATGAATCCACTGTAAAGTTTGCCCTAATTTTTGGGTTTTAGTCACCAGTTTTTTGAAACTCGATCAGATCAGCCAATGCCAGCAAACTTTATCAGCAAACTGAATTTAAAGCTTTCAATACAATGTCAAAAATAGCTGCTAACTAAGAAAATAATAATGTAAAAACATAGTAGCAATAGTAGGACAGCAAATCAGGGAAAAGTTGACTTAAAAGGATGAGAACAGGAGCTCAAACTGTAGGCCATGTCCCTCCTTTGGGAGTTGGCTGTTGGACTGCCAGTGCTGCTTATTGTCACTGATTTGGTTCATAAATAAAGAGAGGAGGACTCTGTGTCT